GGCGGCAGCGCGGTGCCTCGCTGTCGGCTCCCATTTGCTCCGACACGGATCCATCCGTGTCCTGGCCGGCGCGCGACGCTTCGCCGCGTGTTGTGAAGCGATAACTCAGCCGCATTTGCAAAACAACTTTCCTCTTGTTTATTCCATAATGATCCATTGATTGTGGGTAATGTTGCATGCCCTGTGCCGCAGCGGGCGCGGAGCGCTCCCCTGGCACGCGGCGGGGGCTCCGGCAGGCGCCGGCGCCGCGACCGGAGAGCGGCTGCGGCTCCCGCGGCCGAGGGCTCCCGCGGGCCCCGGGCCGTGGGGCCGAGTGCCCCACATCCCACCTGCACCCCGCGCATCCCGGCCTCTCTCCCCACCCTCGCTCCCGGGAAGGGGGACCGGCTTCTTCCCTCTCATCCTCCCTGGCTGCGGCCGGGCCTGACATCATCCGTAATGACGGTGCGAGGCCTCTGCTCCCGGACGCCGGCGCTGCCGTGGCTTGTACAGGGCAGCACCTCCCGGGAACACCCCTGGGATCTGAGAGCTGGAGCACGGCACGTGCAGGCCACGGTGGTGGGAGCTGGTCCCGCGGTCCTGGCATTGCCCCGGTACTGCCGTCACCACAGCAGGGACACACTGTGCCAGTGGCTGAGGAAACTGAGTCAGGGAGCAGTGGTGAGGGGCTGGGCAGCCCTGGGTGCCAAACCCCGTGCTGGCCCTGCTGGGGGCATAATGATCCTCCTGGGGCACCATGCTGGATCCACCTCCTGGCACTGGGATGTGGTACCCAACTCTGTTGGCTGAGGGGCCCCCCTGCCCCCTCTGCCATGGTCCCCAGCCCTGCAGCAGGACCACCAGGACGCAGGGAAGGGGGCTGGGAGAGAGGCCGTGGGCTCACACCAGGACCCAGTGTCACCACCACGCCTTGCCCACGGCAGCAGTGGAAGGACTGGGAGAAGAAGGATGAGCCAATGCGCCCCACTGGGGACAGCCTGATGGACAACCTGGGGCTGGAGAGTGTCCCATTACTTCCCTCGGGATGTGACAGTGGGGCACAGGGCGGGCAGCACCCTGGGCAGGGTGGGCACCCCCCCACAGCAGCACTGGGGGTGCCAGCGGTGCTGTGTACGTGGCACATGTGGTCACGGCCATGGCACCGGGAGCAGGTAATGGTGGGCCGGGATCGGTGCCCGTGCCAGCAGGACAAAGGTGAAGCCACTCCGCGCTGTAAACACCGGCGGTGCGTGGCATGGGGCAGGTGGGGCTGGCCAGAGGCAAACTCGTGACAAAGTGTTTATGGTTTCTCGGCTGGGGACACCCGGGAGTGCCTTGGCCCCTGCCTGGGCTGACGTCACCGGTGCGAGGCCGGGGGAGGAAGAGGAGCCGTCCAGTCCTTGGCTGGGAGCGAAGGCCGCGGTGCCACGCGGTGCCAGGTGCGTGCAGCCCGGCAGGTAGGCACGGCCCGGTGCCAGCCTGTGCCCAGCGGGGGCAGAGCCATGGCCCTGGGGCTGTCCAGCCGTGCCAGGACCTCACACCTTTGTCTGGAGAGCAGGAATCGCCCAGCACTGACCAGGCTGGCCGGAGCTATCCCAGGATACGGCAGAGCCTTGTGCCACTCGGCTGCTCCCGGCACACATCCCCTTCCCACAGACACTGCCAGGGCTCTGGAATCCCCCAGCACTCGAGGGGCACCCAAACCTTGGCATTGGGGTCCCAGCAGGGGCCCTCTCTTGACTTGGGGCAGCAGGGTTTGGGTTAGGGTGACCCCAACCCTGTACCAGCACCCCAGAAGACTCCTGGTGAGGCCAGGCTGCCCCACTGTGCCCAGCCCGAGGGCACGGAGCGGAGCAGAACTGGGTGGCTGGGCCCCGAGGAGCCGTCGGCAGTGCCACGCACGCACCGGGAGCGGTGCCAGGGTCGAGGCAAATGGCAGGAGGGATCCTGCAGGCAGGGCTCTTTGTGCCAGAGTGGCAACTCCAGCCCTTGCACCCCCTCAGGGCACAGGACAGCTGGGCTGTGCCACCGCTCCGTGTGCCACCGTCATGGCACCACACTGGGACAGGGGTTGTGGCTGGTCCTTGGCTGGTCCCTGGCAGCCCAAATCCTGCTGGATACGGCCCTTGGCAGTGCTGGTGGTGCTGCTGTGAATACAGCATGCCCACCCTGCCCTGGTTCAGCCTCGGGTACCAGTGGCACGCTGAGACCCCAGGGTGGGGGTCCACGGCAGGGACCTCAGCCCCATTCCAGGCCGGGCCTGTCGGAGCGCGGGGGGGATGTGGGGAGCCCGGCGCCTGCCGGGAGCACTACGAGGACCCGTCTGACGGGTTCGTCGGCTCTTCCCGCACCCGGACAAGCCCGGGCCGGCGGGACACCCAGCCACCGCCCAGCAAGCAGCGCCTGCTGGGTGGGGGAGAGCGGCCGCCCTGCCCGCCGCGGCTGCGAGGAACCCCCCCCCCCCCCCCCCCCCCCCCCCCCGCCGGGGGGGGGGGGGGGGGGGCCCCCCCCCCCCGCCGGGGCGCGGGGCCCCCCCCCCCCCCGCACAGCAACACACCCCGGGAGAGGGGCCACAGCCCCCGCATCCCACACTGCTCCGTGGGGAGGGGGCTGCCCCTCTCCTTGGGGGCACTGAGCCCCCCCCAGCCCCGTGGAGCGCAGGGTTAGGACCCCACAGCTGCTCCCCTGCGCCCATGGGGGCTGTGGGGTGCTGGCTGTGCCCCACTCCTCCGTGACCCCAGTGAAACCCCCTTAGCAGTGACTCCAGCCCCAGGCACAACCCCAACCCCCCACACCTCCTTGCCTGGCTGGAGGCACCGAGGAAGAGCCGAGGGCATTCCCCCTTCCCGCAGGAGACGCCAACGTGTGCCAGATCCCCCCAAAGCCGGCAGGAGCCGGCATGCCTGGCAGAGCCAGACGCGCGGGCGGGGGGGTTACGCGGGGGTTCCCATGGGGCTCCCGGCACCCCATGGCTGCTCGCCCTGTGCAGCTGGTGAGGATGGCAAGGAAAGCTCTCCCGCACCCAGTGCCCCCAACACCACCCCAGCACCCCCGGGGATGCGTGCCAAGACCCCCGCGAGCTGCCCTTACCTGTGGGCTCTCCTGCTGTCCGTGCTGTGTTCCTACTGGAAGCACCGGATCCCTGCCAGACGCTCCATGGCGGTGCTGGGGGGTGGATGGGAAGCAGAGCCAGCGGAGGGGTGCACCCTGCATCCCCCCTGCCACGGCTGGAGCTGTTGTGCCTGGTAAGACAGGTGGAGGTCAGCCCTCACCTGACCCCCTGCCCTGGCTGGAGCCCCCCCGGGCGCCAAAGCCCCTCCAAGGGCCGGGAATGCTGCACATCACCGTGACAGGGGTCCGTTTTTTTATCCTTTTATTATTTTTTTTTTAATAGACTAAGAGCAGAATATGAAAATCACCAGCCAAAGCACTTGAAAAAAAGGTTGAGAATGTTTCTTTTTTGTTGTTTTTTTTTGTTTTGTTTTGTTTTGATCTGTTTTGTTTTTCCCCAAAAAGTGTCTGTGCGTTTGCATAGGTCAGGTCTTCACAGAAGACGAGGAAAATCCAACACGTTCGACTATGTACAAGCCAGCCCGGGGCCGGCGCCGCTGCCTATGGTACAGTATAGATATATCTCTGTAGTCGCTCTCTGTACAGTATGTATAGATCGATATGGGTATGTACAGGCTGCCCGGCCCTGGGGGGTCCCTGCCCTCACCAGGCTCCCCCTCTTGGAGCTGCCCCCCGGCCCCGGGGCAGCCGCGGGGCACTGGGTGGGCTGCGGGCAGGACCCCACGGCACAGGACGGTGTCGGCGGGAGGTGCGGCGCACTCAGCCCGTCCCCGCGGACGTGGCCGCGCCCGTTGGCAGGGTGGGAGGCGAGTCCGGCCGGGATCGGCGCGTGCCACGATCCCTGCCCCGCGGGGCAGCTCTGCGAGCGGTTCTCCAGGCAGGGGGGGTGGTCCTGCGGTGGTTCCCCCGCTGGCTCTCAGGAGGGGTGGCAGGTCGGGGGGGCCGCACTCGGCAGAGCGGCGCTGGCCGGGCCCCCGCGGGCGCCGGGAGCTACGAGGCCAACAGGGTCATGAGGAAGAGCGCGGCGGCCACGGCCAGGGGCAAGTGTTCCCGCTTGGGGCTGGTGCCGCTGATGCTCTTCTCCAGCTTCGGCATCTCCGGGTTGAAGTTTTCTGCAGGGAACAGCGAGAGGGTGAGGGGGGCAGCGGGGCAGCCCCAAAACCCCACCCCCGGTTGGCTGGGGCTGCCCCAGAGGTGGCGGCGGCAGGGGGGACGCGGCGCAGGGGGGGCCGGGGGCTCTGCCTGACTCACCCAGGTCCTCGATCTTCACCTCGGGCCGCAGGGTGAACTGGGGCAGGGTGGGCGCCAGCTTCTCCCCGGAGTGTGACGCTGTAGAGGGAGAGAGGGAACGGGGGTCACGCTCCCTGGACGCCCTGTGCTGCAGCCCCCCCCAGGGAGGGAGAGGGGACCTGCCGGCCGGCCACGCCGCCCCCCGCTCGCCCACAGCCCCCAGGGTGGGGACAGAGGTACTTACTGGAGGCGCAGCAGACAAACACCTTCATCTTCAGGCAGGCCCGGCGGTGGTTGTGTGTTGGTGTGGCTGCAAGGCAAGAGAGGGCTGGGGGCGGCTCCGTGGTAGTGACCCCAGCCCCGGGTACCCCGAGGCGCAGTGGGTCTGGGCATGGGGGTGTCTGGTCCTGCCCAGGGGTGTGCTCTGGGCTGGGGGAATGCAGCAGCACCCCAAATCCCGCGCCTGCACCAGCACCCGAATCCTGTGCCAACAGCCTGTACCAGCACCCCAATCTGGCACTAGTACCCCAATCCTGCATCCTCCATCCTACACCATCACCCCCCAGCACCCCCATCCGGCACCAGCACCTTCACCCACACACCCATGCTGTCCCCCATCTTTCCCC